CAGTAATAATTCTTTGTTCTTTCCCCCATGTTTCATTACTTAAATTATGCTGATAAAACTTTTTAGATATATTTCAGGAACTGTTTCATCTTTCAATAACATCCATCTTCTGTAATTTCAAGGTCTTTGCTTCTTCTAAATACTGTGCTCTTTTTTTCTGCTTTGTAGATAACCACTCTTGTAGTATAGTAAAGGCTGGCTGGCCTCATATTCGCTCTCTTTTTTTAAGATTTAAAAGTTTTTATTTTATGTGCATGACTATTTGACTGCATATGTGTATATGCCTCACATGCATACCCAGTATGAAGAAGAAGAGGGTGTAGGACCAGAGGGAGACATGGGGTGGGTACTGGGAACTGAACCCAGATCTTCTGCAAGAGCAGCAAATACTCTTCACTGAGTTGTCTCTTCAGCCCTCGAACTCAAATTCTTTGTCATTGAGGATGATTTTGAGCTAATCTTCCTGTCTCCACCATCCCAGTGCTAAGGTGGCAGATGTATGCCACTGTGTCTGGTTTTATGTATGTTGTGGCTCAAGCACAGGACATTGTACATGCCAAACAAGCGCTCTACCAGTTATACTACTATGTTAATACTGTTAACAGTCCCCTGCTGGTCACAATATTTCTTGTCTTAATTCTCTGGTATTGATCCATCTTCACATTGCTACCATAGTTATCTCTTCAGTCTGTCAGCCAATCCAATACTATACCTACTTCTTTAAGCCTGGATCCTAGTTCCATCGCAGAGCACGCACGCACGCATGCACACGCTTTTTCTTTCACACAGTTAAAAGTTCTGTAGGGCATCCAACCATAACAGTCAGTGGCACTTGTCCTTTTGAAAGGTATGCATTTATTGACTTATGTGGTCCTAGGGGTTATTGTAGGCAAGTATTCCAGCTCTCCTGATTACTTGTTAGTTTAAGACAGGCTCTTGATGGGCATGATGGCTTATGCCTTTACTCCCAGCAGAGGTAGGATCATTTTTGTAAGTTCCAGGACAGCCAGGGCTACACAGAGAAACCAAAGCCCATAGGCCTTGAACTTGAGATCACCCTGCCTTAGCGTCCCTCAGTCATCGCCAGCATTATAGGCCTTTGTTAACAGGCTCAGCTCTATTTATTTAATTTATTACAGTCCTTCTATATATAGCCGAGGATGGCCTTGACCTTGTGATTCTCTTTTCATGTTCTAAGTGTTAGGATTACAGGCATGTGCCACTATGCCTGGAAGTGCTGCTTGTTTATAAATCTTGTGGAAGTGAGGGGCCTTTACTTGTGGGAAATATGTTACATGCTTATTTGTGTTTTATGGACATTGGGGAGTACCTCGTAGTTCTTTACATAAATCTAGACTTTTCAGGATGCTATAGGCCACCTTGGTTATCTCTTTTAAATGCTCTCTCATTTGTTTAGGATGTTCATTCTCCTACCCTATTCCTAATCTCTTAAAGCTGTCCTCACATTTTCAAAGCATCTCTGGGCCCACAGAGAAACTAGAATAGACCCCTGCTGTTAGGTAGCTCCCTTGTTTACACAACTAAGCATATTGAGGGTCTTTCCTACTAGCAGTAGCTGGAACCTTGGACCTCAATCATTTTAGATTTTTTTTGTCTCTAATACAAAGATTTGTTTAATAGGGACTTACTGATTTATTCAGAAATTAATGTCATTCTATTTACTATGTCTATTCAATTTATTTAGTTGTTTTGCAGAAGTCCTCAAATATCTTTGCAAAATGAATACATATATTCATGACTTTATTTTGAAGGGCTTTCTTTTAAAAAAATATTTATCTTATGTGTATACATGTTTCACCTGCCTGGTACCTGAGAAGAGGGTGTTGAATACCCTGGAACTGGAATTATACGAATCCCTAGGGTAACCCCCATCCAAAAAGAAAAAAGAAAACCACAATTGGCGGTTACTTCTAATTATTGCAGACATCTTAAAGCTGTGTCACTGGGTCCTACATTTTCTGGACCTGTCCCACCAGTTTATATAAAGTTTGTTGCATTTGTTACACAAAATGTCCTTATTTTAAATATTACTCAGTCAAAAGCCTACCCACAACACACTCATACAATCAAATCAAACACTATGTAACGACCATTTTTTTCCATTACAACTGTAGAACAACACCAGTGTCTGCTTTTACAAATACCACCAGTAATTCCTTTATCACTACTTACTGAAGGACCATGCTCTGTGTAACAGCTGGTAAGAAAGCCCTTCACTGAGGTGGAGAGATGGCTCAGTAATTAGGAGCATTTGCTGCTCTTGCAGGGGACCTAGGTTTGCCTTCCCAGCAGCTACACATCCACACAACTATGTATTTCAGGCTGGCCTCCAAACTGAGCTTCCTGCCATGGCTTCCCAGAGTCTGTGATTAAAGCTCTCCGCATCACACATACTGCTTTTTATTTAAACTTTAGGTAGTTGTTTGCTTTTAAATGCTAATTCACTGCTTCCACAGACCCTTACAGAAGTACTGCCAAGTTTTGGCCAGTTTTTGCTTCTTCCAAGGACTCATTCATTTACCTCAATATCTATGAGGAAGAACTTGGACCCAAACAAATGAAGCTGCCAGTTAGCCAGGTATATAGTATGCATAAAAAAGTTTAAAGCTAGGTCTATACGAAAGAAGAGTTCCCTTTCATGTTTCCTGCTGTCTCTGTAGAGCTCTGGCAAGTTAATAAATTCATGTAGTCTGTTTTTAAAAAGGACTCAGGTTTTATTAGGTCAGTGTGATTTTTTTTTTTTTTGTAAAAAGTTACATTGTAACTGTTTATTATAGGTATTTTTAGAATTGTCTTATTTCTGCATTTATGTAAGTCAACTATTTTTACTGTTGGTAATAAATTTATTTTGAAATTTTGTAATATTTTTTATACAAGATCTATGTTTTAAGAAATAGCCTCTGGGAAGTTTGACCTCATACATATTTTCAGGGAAAGACAGACCTAGTGGAACAGAGACACACAGAGTACAGCAAAGTGTTTCCCCTCCCCCACTACACATCACTGGGCTGCCTCTGCCTTAGGAGTGCTGGAATTACCATGCACTCCTGCCATGCACACTCCAGCCATTCCCCTAATTTTTGAAGTCTCTCTTTCAAAGCAAAAAGTTGGATTCATACTAATGCATAGGTTTGTTTCACCTATTTTATTCTTGACTGCTAGAGTTGTGAAGATGATTGAGTGTTGTAGTAGAGGAGAAATGGCTGCTGTGGAACTAGAAACATTGTGCTGTGATAGGTTGTCTTGGGAGGTTTGCTACAGTAGAATGGCTTCCAGAAATTTAGGCACTAAGATCCGTGGAAGATGAGACTGTCAAAGGTCTGTTGCAGTTCACTTTCTACTATCTTTCCTTCATATTGTTGATCCTATAGCCGTTCTGTATACCACAGGTTTACAGGTGCGCCTTACTGTTCCATAGTTCTGTGAAGCACTGATAAGTACTAGAATGCTAGCACTTGTTTTTCTTCACTTGACTGTTAATAGCTGGGAGGAATGCAGAGATAATGCAAAGCAGTATTGAAGGTGGGTTGGAAAGTAAACCTCTGCCTGGAGGGTTTGCCTACCTAGTCGCTAAATGAAGCCACAAAGTTATTAGCTCGGACTAACGTTAATAATATTGCTATTATTGAAGGCATCGCAGACAGTGAGTTGCCAGAGGACACATTCTGAAAGTAGACTACACTTTTATTTATTTCATGTAATTTTTTTAAAGATGGATTTTGTTATTTATGTGTTTTTGTTGGGGGCAGTGGTGCAGTCGTTCTGTGCTCAGAAGATGGTGCTAGATTCCCTGGAAATGGGGTTAACAAACAGTTGTAAGCCAGCATGTCCACACTGGGAATTGAACCCCAGTCCTCTGGAGAGCAGCTAATGCTATTAACCACTAAGCTATCTCTCCAGCTCTCTGTGTAATGTTTTGTTTTCCTTGCAGTGCTGGGGATTTGAGCCCAGGAGGCCCCAGCCTCTTCCCCCCATTGAAGATGGACTTGAACTGTTGATCCTCCTGCCTCTGCTTCACCAGTGGTAGATTTACAGTTGTGAACTGCAGTGTCTAGCTTACTTGTTCTATAGGAACCTTACTAAAGTGGTACGAAGTGGAACTATAATGAATATTTATATGCCTGATGAAAAGCAAAATTTATATACAATAAAGCCTCTTGAATTCAGGAGTTTTTAATTAACTTATAGATGAGATAGTATTTGTGACCCTAAAGAGAAGGCATTTAGAAAGTTGACTAGAAAATTATAACTGGGTATGCTCCTAGTGGAAACAGATTTTTTCCTGCTGGCCCTGCCATTACTACTAGTTTAGATTTAATTAACATCATTGACCTAAACTAACTTTTATTTCAGTGTTTGCCTAGACTGAAAATCTAACTTTTTTTTTTTTTTTTTTTTTTTTTTTTGAGACAGGGTATCCCTGTGTAGCCTGTCCTGTCCTAGACTCACTTTGTAGACCACTGGCCTCAGAGATCCATCTGCTTCTGCCTCTCTGTGTGCTGGGCTTACAGGTGTGCAGTGGCACATGGCTGAAAATTCACACTTTCTGACAGTGTTAGCTATGTGGCATGCCTTGACGTGGGGATTTTAAGAACAGTGAGAAGAGGATTCTGCTTTCCTAACAGATAAAGCAGATTAATTTCATTCACATAAAGGAAAGTTTCTTAAGAAAATAATTATTTTCATTTAAATTTTTAAAATTCATATCCTTACCTTATGTTTGAAAAGATCCTGCCCGATCCTCAGTAAGATGTGTCTTTTTTTTATAACAGTGAGTTGCATCAGACTGTGTTTATTCCGTTCAGTGTTTAATATGAATGTTTGAATGTTTGAATGTTTCAAAATGTGTAGTTAGTCATGAATTGGTATACTTGAGTATTTTTTTTTTAATGCTTTTGACAGTTACATTTGTTTTCCTTGGACTGGGGGTCTTTAAAATATAAATAAAATGTAATGTTAATGTTTTCCTCCAATTACAGGAGTCAGAAATACCGTCAGAGGAGGGGTACTGTGACTTTAATAGTAGGCCAAATGAGAACTCTTATTGCTATCAACTTCTTCGACAACTAGATGAACAGAGAAAGAAAGATATTCTTTGTGATGTCAGCATTGTGGTGAGCGGGAAAATCTTTAAAGCTCATAAGAACATCCTGGTTGCAGGCAGCCGTTTCTTTAAGACTTTATATTGTGTTTCAAACAAAGAAAGCCCTAACCAAAACAATACTACCCACTTAGATATTGCTGCAGTTCAAGGTTTTTCAGTCATCTTGGACTTCCTGTATTCTGGGAACCTGGTGCTCACAAGCCAAAATGCCATTGAAGTGATGACAGTGGCCAGCTACCTTCAAATGAGTGAAGTTGTTCAAACTTGCAGAAATTTCATTAAAGATGCCTTAAATATAAGCATTAAATCAGAAGCTCCAGAGTCTGTAGTTGTGGACTATAATAATAGGAAACCAGTTAGTAGAGATGGCCTGACTTCATCACGGGATCAAAAAATCGCCAGCTTCTGGGCGACACGGAATCTTACCAATTTGGCAAGTAATATAAAAATTGAAAATGATGGTTGTAATGTCGACGAGGGCCAAATAGAAAACTACCAGATGAATGACAGTAACTGGGTCCAGGATGGTTCTCCTGAATTGGCTGAAAATGAATCTCAAGGTAAAACAAAAGTATTTATTTGGAATAATATGAGCTCTCAAGAGACCGGCAAAGCAAGGAGGAAAAACCAAACTACAAAGAGATTTGTTTATAATATACCACCTACTAATGAAACAAATCTAGAAGATTGCTCAGTGATGCAGCTACCTGTTGCCTATCCAGAAGAAAATAAGGCCCTGCTCATCAAGGAAGAACCAGGTAAATATCGTGTATGCGAAGGTTTTCACTTTGATTATAGTTGCTTACATGTATATATATTTTTAAATACAAATGTGCTGTTTTATTACCACGATTCTCACAAAATGAAAATAATCTCAAAAAGGAAGCTAGGCTAACAACCTCCACCTGCAGAGTTGGGGGAGACAGGGCAATGTTAAGTTTTTCTGCTTGCCTGAGACCAGTGGGAAGGTAGAAACAGAACCAATCTGAAAATGGCTGATATTACCTAAGCCTGAATAAAGGGTCCTAGAAGACCCAGTCACCCCCTCTAGAAAGCTTAATGAGGGCATCTTAACAGCTCCTAAGTAGGCACTTGGCAGTTCAAGATTTTGTCTTCTGGTTGTTGTTTTTTTCCACTCTGACTGTACATGGTTCACAACTAAAACCTGGGGCAGATGGAAAAGGTAAGAGTTCAGTTGCTTATAATTTTAAATTTTATTTTTAATTGGAAAATTTTAATTTGAAAGTAATAAAATAGGGGTGCTTGAATTTCACTTTTTGTGTGTATATGTGAGTTTCAGTTTTAGATTAGGTAATTAAAGTAATGTCTTCCAAAAGCCTTATTAATAACCATCTAACATGCCTTTTGACTTAGGATAAGGTTATGTCTGTAAACACATCCTAAAATGAAGCTGTTTTTAAGTCAGAAATGTATTTTAAGATACTCAGCCAGTTGAACATCACAGTTTGGCAAATCATCCAACAAGAGCTCTATCTTATAAGTGATAAATGTCTTATAAATTTATTAGACAGTAGCTGAAGTTAAAATACAGTAAAGGGTTTGCTTTTGTTTCATAACAATTTGAAACTTTTTAAAATTGAGCTCTTATGTTAGGGACCCTTCAGTGTTATCAGGGAGTATGACACCTACTGGCAGCCTCTGCATTGTTGTATGACCAAGAGTTTAGTTACAGTGTGCAGCAAATCACTTTATCCTTTTTGAAATATTTGTAGGGTCTAGTTAACATTTTTTATTTATACATATTTATTGCTACAGAATTTTGCTAATTCTAAGATTACTCTAATTTGTTTGGAACTACTCTGCTTAGCATAGGGCTCCAGAAGCAGGAATTTTTTTATTGTCACCTGAGTTATTTGTTCAGCTTAGAAGGACTGTAAGGTTTGGTTTCTGGAATGGGGTATTTTGTTTTGGGGAAACTGCAGTTTTCCTCTCCAAATATAGGCCAGAAAGAGATTTTTGGTTTTAGTAGATTCCTAAGACAGTGTATGCAAGAATTTTAGGATGCCCTATTGGTAGTAAAGAACTTTTTAAGAAATCTAGTGGCGGACTCATGAAGAATAGATATAGAGTGGGCGTTTTTCTTTGCCTTAGTTTAAACTGGGTGCTCCTAGCTTTGAGGCATCTCATGGCATTGAGAATTCCCATCTCAGTGGAAATAGGTTTGTGCACTGTTAATTATGTGGTTGAATGACTGTTTACCTGAAAACATGCCCGGGCTGGCAGGGTTGCACTCTAGCATTTTTAAGGCAGAGGCAGGCAGATCTCAGAAGAGGTTAGACTGGTCTACATAGCTTGTTTCATTACAGTCAGGCCTGTCTCAAAAACAATCAGTATCTGATTGATTGACTGACTGATTAGATTTTTTTTTTTTTCTGAGTTTTCAAGATAGGGTTTCTCTGTGTAGCCTTGGCTGTCCTGTACTTGCTTTGCAGACCAGGCTGGCCTTGAACTCAGAGCTCTGCCTGCCTCTGCCTCCCAAGTGCTGGGATTAAAGGCATGTGTCATGCCTGGCTTTAGTGTCTGATTTATATGATAATGAGGATGGAGCATTTTATTATGTTGACTTATTATTTTATTTATTCACTGTTTCTTTGTGTGTGGTTCATGCATCTGTGTGTATATACAAGCCATAGCACACACATGTGAAAGTCAAAGGAATCAAGGTTGGGTTACAAGGCTTGTGAGGTCAGGTACCTTTCCCCACTGAGCTGTCTAGGAAAGCAAGCCTGTGGAATGGTTTTTGACTTTTTTGGCTTCGAGTTAGTTTTTACCAGTAGAAATAATACTTGGAAATCAGCATGCATGTACAGTGACTTATTGTCTTGGGGTGAGAGTTGGCTTTTTGAGACAGGGTCTTATGTGGCTCTGACTCTCCTGCAACTCACTATGTAGACCAGAGTGGCTTTCAGCTCACAGAGAACCAACTGCTTCTGCCTTCCAATTGCCTGACTGCTTTTCTTTTTCCTTGTATTGTATATCAGTTTTTGTCAGCTTTTGTTTTAAGTTGTATGTAGGTTAGGCTGGCCTCTAGTTCACTATGTAGCTAAGGTCACCTTTATGTCTATCCTTATATTCTGAGATCTACCTCCCAAATGCTGAGATTATATGGTGTGCCAACACTCCTGTTTCTGAGGAGTTTTTTTTTTTTTTTTTTTTTTTAAATCTAATGATAGATGCCTTAGCTGGCAATTTGTGTTTTGACTCACTAATATAGAAGGCCTAACAAAACTCTATAGAGTGTTTAAACATAAATTTGCATGTGCACGCACACATACATACAAATTTGAGCACCTGGAAACACACATACAGTAAAAATCCTTTGGTATTTTGGGTGTTGGCAGAGCTAATAGGAGCCAGCCTTGTTCTTAGAATTGCCGCATGATAGTGGAGTGACTTAGACAGTAACATTGACCCAATGTGAATACTTCCAAAAGTCTTCACGCTGTTAGCAGTTATTTAGCAAGCATCTTCTCACATCCATATCAATACACTAATCTATCAAAAATTGTTGGCAGTTTAGTGTCAGTTTGTCTCATCCTAAAATCATCGATACATCATCTTACATCATTGATAGTATCTGACCTTGCTTACACAAACAAATTTGGTTTCATCATCATAAGCTGCATATCACCTGGTAAAACTTGATAATTTGATAGTGCCTCCAAAGAACTCCAGCATCATTCAGTGACCCCCAAATGGCTCTTCTCTCACCTAATTAGATAGTATGGAAGGTCCAAGGAAGTCACCAGTCAGGTCAGTGTATATAGAATTTATGTATGCCTCATTTCTGGCCTTGCCAGTGGGCAGCACTGTGAGTTAGAGGTGACGGCACTGTCTGCATTTCATGATTGCTTACAAGGCAGTTCCAGCAACCGAAGTGCTTTTATCAGAGCTCCTAGAATGGAAGACTGTAGGGACCACTCATTATTTTCTGTGGTCTTCATCTAGTAAAAAGAAAATGTTCAAAATATATGAAGCTAACTCTTAAAAAGAAAAAAAAAAAAACTTAAAATGTGTAGCTGATAGCACTGAACTGTAGTCTTGTTTTTGTCAATAAGCAAATTATACTAGTTTCTAAAAAGGCTTCATAATTATTTATGCAGTGCCTTCTAATGTACTTTATTTTTACTTGCCCCAGAATAATCCAAACTGTTACTTCCAGTACATACATATATTAAGAAGATAGAAATATATTTCTTGTGGCTTTTTTCTTTGTTTTTTTGTTTTGTTTTGTTTTGTTTTTCAAGGCAAAGTTTGTAGCCCTGGCCATCCTGAAACTTGCTCTGTGGGCCAAGGTGGCCTCAAACTCAGAGATCTGTCTCTGCCTCCCAAGTGTTGGAATTAAAGGTGTGCACCCATCTTTCTTGTAACTTTTAAGAATACAGTCATACTAATCTTTGCTTAGTTCCCATGCCTCTTATATAATAATAAATTTTCAGAGGAGGGCTAGTTAGACACTGACCCTTCTTCCAGATGGTGGCGCACAGCCAGCTGTAACAGGTAATCTGATACCATCTGAGGGCACAGGCACAAAAGTCAGGAGCGCACAAACATGCAGGTGCAAATAATAAATGCGTTTTTAAACTGGAAGGAAAAGTAGATCTTAGTAAGAACTACTTTATGGTCAGAATATGAGATAGAGCATGAGCTTGACTCGTTTTTTTTTTTTTTTGTTGTTGTTGTTGTTGTTGTTTTTTCAAACCAGGCTTCACTATGTAGCTTTGGCTGGTCTTGACCAGCTCCTCATGTAGGCTGGTCTCAAACTCACAAAGGTCTTTTGCCTTTCCAGTGCTGGGATTAAAGATGTGTACCACCATGCCCAGCTGGGTTTTTAATGTAACGAGCTAAACTATAAATACGGAAGCACTGACTAAAGCTATACTCTGTGGTTTGTATTTGAAAAGGTCTTAGGCCGTATGTGCACAGAAGGAGCTGTTTCCAATGAAGCTTTGTCTAGTCCTTGTCAAAAGTGGCTCTTAATCTTAGCTATAGATCAAGATAGTTGGGACCTCTTAGGAAGTCCATTTGAAGTTCTACAGGTGATTCTACTTGGCATTGGATCACCTGATGGAATAATAGCCCAGATTCAGTTAGACATTGAAAACCAGCTCCCCACTTTGTGACTCCCATGTGTGGATTGGTTAAGTTTGTGAGTTACCTCTGTTCTTTAAAATACAGTGCTGTTTACAATGTTATCTGGAATTAAATGACGAGCATAAAAGCACGAGATCTACTGTGGTCGTGTCTAGTGCCCTTAAAGTTAGGAAAAACTATTGAAGTTATTTATAACAGTTTTCCAGTGCTATGTACTTTCTGCCAAATGCTAGATAGATCGTCATACATAGCGTGGCTTGTTTTAACACTGACAAAGATGACCTTATTAAGCCTGTGTTTACGATGACTGCTATTACAAGTTACTTTTATTTTGAGCCAAAGTTAACTCCTGTAATGCCCTCCTATTCTGCCATTTGTAGTAGAATTAAAAATAGCTTTAATCTGTCTAATTGGATTAGGAATAATACCTCTGAATTCATGTTTTCTAATTTAAATACCATTCCTTCTATTTTGTTGACATAGAGAACTGACTTTTAACTCTGCAGGAAGCTCTGACCAATATAACAGATGTGGTGTTTATTAACATGAAGGCCTTCCCCAATATTCCCCTACTTGAAAAATCATGTCTCATGTTAAAACCTTTAAAAGATTTAGTTCTGAACTGGAAAACATGTTAATGAAC